GCGCTGGCTGCTCTTCCAGAGGACCTGGATTTAACTCCCAGAACCCAAGAGGAAGCTCAAACTCTTGGGAATCTGACTCACTCCTTCTGCATCAGGCACACGCGTGATGCACAGACATGCATGCAAGCAAAACATCCATTTACATACAATTTAATTTTTTTAAATAAATAAAAAGGATGACTGAGCAAGACAGTGTCAACCCTCACACACACACTGGACACATGCAGGCGGACACATAATGTGCCACACACACACACAATTTAAACACTAAAATGACGGCAACAACAATGCAACGAGACAGCTCTGTGCTGGTACCCAGTAAGGGCTTTTCTATCTCCAGGCCTGAACTGTGACTCCAAACACCTTGTAGATTCAATCTCCTATCATCTCTCAAATACGTCTTCATATCAGTGCTGCTGAGAAACTTGTAAAACCTTCCCAACACAACCTAAGTGCTGAAGCTTTGCTCTATTCTTGTTTTCCTAGTGCCTAAAGCAGCCTTTTTCAGCTGGGTGCGGTGGTGCACACCTTTAATCCCAGCACCCAGGGAGGCGGAGGCAGGCGGACTGCTGTGAGTTCAAGGACAGCCAACACTACACAGAGAAACCCTGCCTTGAAAAAACCAAAAGAGAAAGGAAAAAAAAAAAAAACAGCTTTTTTTCTCTTCTCAACCTTCAACCCTTAAGTCTTGGTTCAAATGTCCTTCTAGTCTTTTCTGGGCCGTACTTCTGCAGATTTCTATTTCTATTATTTACCTTGTCACAATCATTTGGTGTATGTGTGTGCACATGTGTGTACTGTGTGTGCATTATATGCATTATATGTACATGTGTTCACATGTTTGGGGTTCATGTGTGTGGAGGCCTCAAGTTAACGCAGGATGTCTTCCTTGATCATTCTGTTTTTATTGAGTTGGGGTCTCGTGCTGAACCTCGGGCCCACTAGTTCTGCCTACTCTAGCCTGCTGGCCCAGTGGATCCCCGTCTGTCTTGAGGGTGCTACAGTTCCAGCAGCCACCATGCCTGCTCGGTGTTTACACAGGATGTGGGGACCTAATGCTGGCTGTGACTGTACGGCAAGCATTATTCTCTCAGCCACCCCGCCACTTGTCACGTTGCTTTAAGATTGTGTCTGGGTATCTGCTCTGCTAGACCAGTTCCTCTCAGGAGGAATCAATGCTTACACTCCAAACATGTACACTAATTGCACTATTACCAAGTTAGCCCTACAAAAACGCCTGCTGAACAAGCTAGCACTAGACTATTCCGTACCTAATGATTGTGATTAGGAGGCTGAGTTAATGTCAGCCAGGGCTAATGAGCCCCTGTCTCAAAAATCATACACCGCACCACACACATAGGAATAGTGAGTTAGATCTGAAAGAGTCCCTGTAACCAAACAGTAAGCTTTCCTTCAAAATCCAAACATTTGGGCTGGGGTGTGTTAGTGGTAGCATGTCTGTCTAGCATGCACATGGAGGACTGTGGGGCCAACCCCCAGCCTGGCAACGAGATGATGAAACAAATGAAAAGGGGAAAGTAAAAAGATCACTCCAGCGCCTGCAATCCCAGCACTTGGGAGGCAGGCAGGCGGATCTCTGTGAGTTTAAGGCCAGCCTGGTCCACAAGGACAGCCAAGGCTCCGCAGAGAAGCCCTGTCTCAAAAAAAAAACAAAACAGACAAGCAAACAACCAAACCAAAAAGATCATTCCAGGCTGGAGAGATGGCTCAGCAGTTAAAGGCACTTGCCACTGAGGCTGAGCTGACAACCTGAGCTCTATCCCGGGAGCCACGTCCTGGGAGGAAGGAGCGGCAGCCTTGAGTTGTCCTGCCTTCCACACAGGTGCTGTGCCATACAACCTGCCTGTAGATAGATAAACACATACAAAAATTAAAAAGGGTTTTTTTTTTTTTTGTTTTTTTTTGTTTTTTTTTTTTTTTTTTTTGGTTTTTCAAGACAAGGTTTCTCTGTGTAGCATTGCCTGTCCTGGACTAAACTTTGTAGACTAGGCTCACCTTGAACTCAGAGATCCACCTGCCTCTGCCTCCCGAGTACTGGGATTAAAGGCGTGGGCCACCATGCCCAGCTAAAAATGTAGTATTTAATAATAATAATAATAAAAGGATCATTCCATCGCCAGAGTTTGGTAAATGTTGGTGAAGCTCTAGGCTGAGAAAAGGCTTGGCTGAAGCTATTTCAGTCCAATCCCAGTGACTAGCTCAATCCTGGGATTATTTGATACTGATTATCAGCAGAGGCTGGCTCTGAAGCAAGGGCAATCTAGTTTAGAATTTTCTGGAGTGACCCAAAAGAGATCAACGGTCATAGAGCCGGACTAGAACTCAAGTAATTTCGAAAACAAGGAATGGTGTGACTATTTGCTGCCCTGATTAAAAAGTGGCACAACTGACAAGTGAGTCCTGGGTTGGTGTGGCCATGTTGGCTCATGTCCTTTGCTCCTACGTGGCCACCTGCCTGCCCTTGGCCTTCAGATGCTACCCCAGCTCCAGCACTGGCCTTGAAATAGCCACTTGTGGGGAACTAAACCAAGCAGCCTTCTTCCTCATGGAGAGACTCAGAGAAACTGGGAGTCAGAACACTTGAGGGCACCACCATTGACTGACGGCAGCCCTGCTTGGTTTGCATTTAAACTGGCTGAGTGTTTTACCTCTGAAAAACAAATCCATTAGAAAAAAAAAATGTGGCACAACCAGTTCAGATATCCTCTCTAGAAGGTGCGGCTGTAAAGCGATTAGCCACACACAAATCATTAATATAGCTAGACCATAAGAACGCTGATGCACTGAGCCAATGACAGACCACTGCCTGCCTTCAGTGGGACTCCTGTTCTCCTTTTGCTTAGCATTTTTTCCTCACAAGATAGTGGAAATTCTCTGTAAGTAAACAACAGAAGAATTCAGGGGAACTGTTCTAAACAGCCGTTAGAGAAATATGACCCCTCCTTCCTTTAACAAGGATAATGTTTTATGGAATCTAGTCTTGGAAGGTAAGACAAGGCAGAAAAAAAGTCTATGAAAAACTTCAACTTAGTCAGAAGGACAGGGAGTCCAGAAGTATGAGCACTCCAAATCGACAAGGACAAGGAGACAGAAACAAATACACACACAGAGAAATATTTTATCTGGGCTAGGAGCTCCCTAGAATCTTAACTTGGGACCTCTCTAGGATGGCTCTAGATTCAGATCCACACAAATTTGGGATTTGAAGAGTAACTTAATTCTATGCTGGCACAAACTGAAATTATTCCATCATGAATCTTCTGGCTAGGTTCCATGGGATTTGCTGATCATCACATTCACATTTAATGAAACTTGATGTTATTCTTTATTTATCTGAGTCATAGGTTTTCATAATCATTCAGTTTTTTCAGGATAAAATATGCAGTTGTTCCTTTTCCACCCAACATAACCTTAAACAATGTGGTGTCTGTGTTTGTATGCGCACGTTTTGTTTTGTTCTTGAGTATTTTTTTATTTTGGATGTTTTTGTGTGTTTTTGCCCTTTTTGTTTGTTTGTTTGTTTGTTTGTTTTGAGACAAGGTCTCATTAGTTACCCCAACCTGGCTTGACCTTAAAATTCCCAATCCAAAATGTGGACATAGGGAGGTTACATACACAGGCCACTGTATTCAGCTTCGAACAACTTCAGTAAAGTTTGATCTTTTAGAAAAGTTAGATCTTGTAGAAAAGAGGCCAGGAATGCGGGTCGGTGGTAAAGTGTCGACCTGGAATGTGCAAGGCCCTGGGCGCCATCAACAACACACAGAGAAGTTCCTACCAGGATAGTGCAGGTCAACCCTCACCCTAGCAGGCCGGCTCAATGACTTACCGTATCTGCTTCTCTCCTTCCTGTAGCAGAAGAGCAGTTTAATGGGTCCCTGACTTGGCCGCTTACAGCTAGCTTGCCTGCCTGCTCTAGAGCTAATTGCCTAAAAGCCTGCAGCCTCAGATTCCAAAACTGTAAAATGGGAACATCAAATGGGGATAATGAATACCTGTCTTGCAAATTTATTAAGAGTAAATGAATTAACGTGCCCGCTGGACTACCCTAAAAAGCTCCCCAGAAGAAAGGCAGTGTCTACACCGCCGGTGACTCTTGCTGGCATAAAAACACGCTGAACAGTTTTGAAATGAATGAATATGCAACCCTATTTCAACGCTAAACTTTTCTCCCACGCCTGCATTTCTTCCTTTTTCGCCTATCGTTTTGTAAAGCCTTCACGAACTCAAAGAAAGTCACCCCGTCACCCATCTCTCCAACACCGCCCACCGTCCGCCTCCAATGCGATGGGGGTGGAAGAAGCAGCGAGAACACAGGCTTCACGGCACGTCCACTACCTACCCTGACCACTGACTCGCGTCAACGACAGCGAAGTCGAACACTCTGCCCTCCGCAGGGCACAACTTTTAAGGCGACCGCGCCGGGATCCCTTCCCACATCTCCGCAAGCAGGAGGAAGAAAACTCGCGCAGAGGGAACCGTCTGCTCTCCAAAGTTACGGAGTCCGTTACCCTCGCGCCCCCGGGGGTGGGACGGCCGAGCCGGACGGGCCGGGCGGCCTCTCGGAGCCCGGGGTGTGGACAAGGGTCACCTCTGCACCTGGCCAGGCTCGTCTGACCACTGCTCCGACAGGGCAGCGCTCTTCCAGCCCCGGAGCGGAGCCGAAGGGTGCGGCCAGCGCCCGGGCTGGGAGCGCACGGCCGCGCCGGGACTACGCCCACCCGCCCGGGCCGAGGCGCGGAGCCCACCTCGCCCGGGACCACACCCCGGGGCACCCTGCTCGCCCCCCACCCCACCCCCGGCCCACACACCAGCCGGCCGGCGCTGCTCACTGGCCGGGGCCGCGTCCCCCTCCCGGTCATTGGCTGCCCGCACGCAAAGCCCTCCTCCACAGGGGGACCTCGCGCGCGGCGGTCCCCGCGGCGGAGCACCCCCGCCCGGGCTCCCCGCCGCCCGCCGGCGCGGCCTCGGCCGCTCACCGTGTAGTAGGACAGCAGCCCTGCGTTGTAGTCCAGCACGAACCAACGGTACTGCCAGCCCTTCATCACGTTAGTCCACTTGCTCAGCGGCCCTTCCACGATGGACGCCATCTTGGGAGCCGCCAATGACAACAAACGGCCTGACGTCAGCCGCCTATATGGCATTCGGCATGCAGGGGGCGGGGCCTCCAGGGGCCTGGGCGGGGCCAGGGCTCGAGGGGGCGGGGGCGGGGGCGGGGCGGTTCTTCGGGGCAGGCGGAGGACCCACGCCCCTGGCAATCGCAGTCTGGCGTGCTTTCTTTCTCTCTCTCTCTCTCTTTGCCTATTGTGTGTAAGGGCCGGATGGGATGGAGGCGAGAAAGCTGAGAAAGCAAGCGTAAATATTGAGGTTATTTATCCAATTCGGTCGTGACGGTGTACACCTGTAATCCTAGCACTTGGGAGACCAGAGGATCAGTAGTTCAAAGCCAGACTCAGTTGAGTGGGACTTGGGGCGGGGGGGGGGGGGGGGGAGGGAGAAGAGGGGAGAATGAGTGACAGAGAGACTGTAATCTCAGCAGGAATTTGGAAACAGAATCAAGGCGCATCGGTGATGAGCATGTACTGATCTTCAGGAGGATCTGAATTCGGTTCCTAGCACCCACATGAAGGATAGGGAGCTCACTGTTGCCTGTAACTGAACCTGCAGATAGTCCCACCCCACGCAGACACACACGCTAAAGTACATATAATTAGAGTACAAGATCATCCTTGGCTGCTTAATTTTAATGAGTCCAAGAGTAACATGGGCTACATATAACATTTTTAAAAATTATTCACATATTTTTTTTTTCCTTCAGACAAGAGTCTCTTTGTAGTCTTGGCTATTTTGATACTTGCTTATGTAGACTAGGCTGACTTTGAACTCACAGAGATCCACCAGCCTCTGGGTGTGCCACCATATCTGACATAAGTTTTTTTTCTTTTCTTTTTTTTTAAGGACCTAGTGATTAGATGGTTGAGAGATGGTTCAGCAGTTCAGAGTGCTGGCTGGTCTTCCATCAGATTTCTAGCACTCAAATGGAGGCTTAACAATCATCTGTAATTCCAGTTCCGGAGGGTATGGCATCCTCCTCTGGCCTCCAAGGCCCCGGACACGAATGTGGTACACTTACACACATGTAGGCAAAAATAACCACACGCTTTTTTTTCTTTTTTTACTGTAGAGAAAAATGATCGCTGAGAGTTAATCCCAGGACTTCATGCATGCCAGGCAAGCACTCCAGCCCTGCGGTGTTAGTCAGGGTTCTTTAGAGTAACAGAACGGATAGAGTGAATGTGTATTTATTGATTTCTGCTGGGGATTTGTTGCAGCCTGGGGTTCGGCTGAGACAATGGCCGCCTGTGGACAGAAAGCCCAAGAATCCCATAACTGGATGTCTCAGCTGGTCTCCAGAAGAAGGAGGCTCTAAGGCCAGTGAAGGAATGGGCTTGCTAGCAAGGACGGGAGGAAGCAGGCAGAGAGAGAGAGAGAGAGAGCGCACTTCCCTCTTCCACGCCTGTCCATAGGCCTCCAGCAGAAAGGGTGTGGCACAGGCTAGAGGTGGGTCTTCCCAGTCAGAGATCTGGATTAGAAAGGGATCCTCCCACTGCCAGTGATCAGGTGAAGCAGAAATCTTCTACAGGTGCGCCCTGCCATTTTTGTTAATTCCAGACATCGTCAGGCTGACCACCAAGACCATCCATCGAACCCGCCTTCACTTAAGAAAACGGGAGGTCGTTCCTCACAGGTCAAAAACCACCACCGCCAATGTTCACCATGTAAGCATCTCACAAACCATTCAGTTAATAACCACATCTGGGAATATGGCTCCGTAGCAGAGTGCTGGCCTAGCACTCATGAGTCCCTAAGCTCAATTCCCGGAATCAGGGACCACACTTCAACAGAGGCTGGTTTGCCCTAGGGCTTTGAGAACATTTGCAGAAAGTAGAGAGGAAGGCAGGAATAGACAACAAAATCCGTGATATACATATTAAAACTTGTCAAGTGCTCTGGGGAAAAAACAAAGGGAAGAGGAGCTGGGACTGCTGTTTCAGACACCTGGATGAGAAGGTGACTTTTTCAAAGTTTTCTATGTGTGTATCGGATACATTACTCTCCTATCCTCATAACTCTCCCTTCTTGCCCCTCCCGTTAGTCTCATTTGTCGCTCTAGACAGTTTTACTTCTGTTTGCAAGTCATATGCATATAAATACACAATTTTATGTATCTGTATAAATTCTGGGCAACACAAATGAGAAGAAAAATATTGTATTTGCCCTTCTGAAACTGGCTTAATTTAGTTAATATGGTTGCCTCCAGTTGTATCTGTTTTCCTGCAAATGACAAACTGCATTCTTTTACGTGTGTGTGTGTGTGTGTGCGCGCGCGCACACGCCTTCCAGCTTCCACCTTCATTTAGGCAGAACCTCTTATTATTGACTCTGTGTATACCAGGCTAGTTGGCCTATGGGCGTCTGGGGATCTCCCGACTACAGACATCTAAGAACACAGACACGCGGTACCCCTCCAGCGCTGCGTGGTTTTGTGGATGGGAAATTAGATCCTCCTGCTTGTGCGGCAAGCACTTATGCCCTTAGCTGTATCCCTGGCCCTTATTCTTTAACTTTTGACAAAAGCAAAGACCTGGAGAAGGTGAAGGAGGAAGCTAAGGGGAAAACCTCACAGGGAAAACCACAGTGAACAGAGCAAGCCAGGCGTGGTGAAGACAGAGAGTGGAGCCCAGTGAGGGAGCATCGAGGCAAAGGAGAAAGTAGTAAGGGACAAAGGCAGAAAGGACAGACCACTCACAGCCTTCAGCTAAAATTGAAGTACTTATTGAATACTCTGTCCAGACTCACGGTCCTGGGATCTTCTGTACCGAAAGCAAACACTAAGCAAGCAAACGTGGAAGCTACTCGCTACTGAAATCCAGAGCTGGCTCAGCTGACACAGCGCTTGCTGTGTAAGCATGAGGGCTTGTGCGCAGACCCTGCGCACCCACGTGAAATGCCAGGTGCATACCTGTAGTCCCAGTGCCAGGAGACGGGGACAGGTGTGCCCAGGGGCTTGCTGAATTGGTGAGTTACAGATTCAGTAACAGGCTGTGTCCCAAAAAGAAAAAGAATGTGAAAAACTGGTTTCCAGAACTCAACGAGGGAGGGGTGCACACCTTTAACCCCAGCACTCAGGAGGCAGAGACAGGTGGATCTCTGTGAGTTTGAGGCCAGCCTGGTCTACAGAGTAAGTTCCAGGGCTACACAGAGAAACCCTGTCTCGAAAAACCAAAAAGAAATGAAAACAAAACAAAAGGAAAGAAAAAAAAAAGCACTCAGTGGGTAAAGGCACCTGCCACCAAGTCTGACGACATGAGTTTGATCCCTGGGACCCACATGATGGAAGGGAGAACTAACTAGAAAACTGTCAGAGCTCTGACTCCCATGTGCAAGTTGTGGCACACACTTGTGCCCACATACAGAAATACACATGAATGCACACAAGTAAATAAAATGTAAAAAAAAAATTTTTTAAAGAAAACTATCCAGCACTGCTTTGCTGAGAATGTGATAAGCTACAAAACAGGATGTCAATGGATGAGTAGTGTCAGCTGTGCAGGCGTTAGAAAGGGCTAAAAGGGGAATGCTAGCTAGGAGTGGAGACTAGGTTGTGTAGGAATTTTTTTGTTTGTTGTTTGTTTTGTTTTCTCTTAAGACTGAAGATACCCAAGAGGCGAAGGCAGTAAAATCACCATGAGTTCCAAGCTAGCCTGGAGTTCAGTGTGAGACCCTGTCTCAAATCTACACGTAGATTAAGACCCTGGGGAATATTGCTCTGCTTGTTTCCAGAGGGGGAGAGACAGAGACACCCTACAAAAGGGGGGAAATAGTAGCCGAAAAGCCCTCGACAAGCCTGCGATTCCAAGGCCAAGTGAAAAGGTTAACAGCATCTTGAAGCAAACATACTCATTCACACCAGGAAAGGGTGGAGGGGAGCGCTGGAGTTAGGTAGTCACATGAGTGTGTTTCTCTCTGCCCCCAGGTGAGGGGCTCAGAGCTAAATGATTCAGGACAGGGACCGTGAGGGCACAGCGCAGTGGCATGGTCTCGCAGCAAGTGACAGCATTCGGTCCACAGCAAACAGAGCGTGCGGGATGGTGGCCCCGTGAGATTCCAGCAGAGCTAAGCGAGCGCGTTCCCGATCCTTAGTGGTGTGGAGATGCTCGTGAGGACTAGTACAGACACACCGGTGAGTCTGTGATGAGAAACTTACGCTGCCGGGGCTACGGAAGTGTAGGCCGTACAGACATGTAGATAGACTGCGGCGCTCGACGGTGGTAAACTATGGCACGGGTTTATGGAGTCACTGTGTTTCCCCATCCATTCTTTTAGAGGGCACTGCCACTTCCTAAAAATGAAAAGCTGGGTATAGAGATTCATGCCTATGATACCAACACTCGTGGGACAGAGGGAAGAGGCAGGAGGACTGCTGTGAGTCTGAGGGTAGAGTAAGCTGAAAAGTGAGTTCCAACCCAGCTCGGGCTACACAGTAAAACCTTGACTTTAAAAAAAAGGTAGGAGGTAACTAAATCAGCCTCGCGAGGGACCTCGAGAAGAAAACACGGCTATCACAGACAGCCGCTCCAAGCATAGCCTCAGGGAAGACTGCACCTCGGGACCGGACTCCAGGGTGGAAGACAGTGACCTGGATATTCTCACCCCGGCTGAAATGCCCTGATGCGGTTTGGGAGTCAGCTACCCTCCACAGGTTTGGGTGTTTGAACACTTGGTCCACAGTGGAGCCATTTTGGAAGTCTGTGGGACATCCAGGAGATAACTCAGGAAGCGGATCACCACGTCACAGACGCCATGGGTCATGGTGCACCTTAGTTCCAGCTGAACCCTCTCCTTCCTAGTCCCTGAAGATGGCCACATGTCCCCCCCCCCCCCCCTCCCCCCCCCCCCCCCCCCGCCCTTCCCCCTCCCCCTCCCCCCATGGACCACAGCTTTTAAACCACGAGCCAAAACCAGGCTTTCCACCCCTCAGCTGTTTCTTGTCAAGTGTTTGGTCACAATGACTAGAAAGGTAACTGAGATATACATG